CCACGTGATTTTATGTGATGGTGGTCTGGATAATGTACTTTGTTTTAGACGTGTCAACTGGATTGTGTAGGCAAATTATGTTAATCTAGCTACTCTTGACTTTTTGTGTTTTGTTTTGTCTTTTTGCCTTATTCCTAAAATACGTCAGGCCGGAGGATTTGCGTCGTGAGTTTGGTCGGTATGGCCCCATAGTAGATGTTTACATTCCACTTGACTTCTATACTCGCCGCCCAAGAGGATTTGCTTATGTCCAATATCCTTTGTCTTACTGTGTGCATGTGAGTATACTGCATGCATGTGCAAAACACATTTATGTTTTCTAGAGCTTAGGTTATGAGATTACTATTGCCTAATTAAATGTGTTTATTTCTTTCACTCAGAAAAACTGAAGCAGTCCACAGTAACTGGCAAGCACCCCCCAGTTTGAACTGTCCTGTTAGCTAAAATCCAAGCATAAACCAAGCAGGCAAGACAAAGGGCACCTCAAGTTCAAGCGTCCAGGAGAAAAGAGGGAGGGTGGACACAGATATAAAGACCTGGAGGAGGGAAAGCTTTACCAAATAAAAGAGAAGCTGAGCCTTCGGCTTTCCTACATATACTCAGAGTTCCAGATCAAAGCCAAGTCCTAGTTGCTGTGTCTACCTCTCAAGTCCAGCTTACAGGCCTTAGAGAGGAGAGGTTCAAGGTCAAGTGGTATTGAAGTAATTGCCAAAGTTCTATTTTGTTTTCTTGAGCCTTTTCTGATAGTCATTTTACATAGCTAATTGTACTTAGAACTAATATAGATAATGGCACTTACCAGGGTATTATAAACTGATGCATATAATTCTAGGTGTTTGCTTTTCTGTTCCTTTTGTATATATATCCCAAGTAGTAAAAACATAAAAGTATTTTTAAGTGGTAGAGAGATAACTATCATTTTTAAAGCACCAAATCAATTTTGAAATTATGTTCTAGATCAATTGTATATGATTTTGGTTATAATAAATTGTCCTGAATGTCATAATTAAAGCCTTTTCATGAGAGAACAACTTTAATTTCAGAATAAAGGCTTCTGCATGCTGATTTTTCAGTGAAAAGTCTGCTGGATCCTTTACCTGCAAAAAGGGAGTGAGTCTCCAACAGTTTGTTTTATATTGTAGCCAGTGTTGGAATGGTTCCTGATAGTCTTTCAAATTATACATGAAGCTTACAGCGATATTAATATATATATTAGAAGTACAATCACGTTTCTGTCTTTATAGACTTACTCTTTAAATCATATTGGGGCATACCTCCATAGTAAAAAGCCTAGGTGGCACAGTGGTACAACCTGCCAGGTCAGCAGTATGAAACCACTCCGAGAGAGAAAGATGGACCTTTCTACTGCCCTAGAGTTGTGGTCTCAGAAATTCACGTGGGCAGTTAATCCTTTGGGATCTCTATGAGTCGGCGTTGATTCGGTAGCAATGAGGTTGGTTTTTGGAGTTCATAATAAAAAGTGAAAGGGCTTTTTT